TCAAAGAAGCCAAAATTTGACCGATGGCACCAGTCCCTGAGCCACCTGTTAACCAGGTGAGTTTTCCTGCCCCTTTCAGTGCTGTTCCCTGTCACTGATGGGATGGAGGAAAACACCACCTGCGCCCCTGATCCCTCAACCAGTCGCCCCAGTGCCCTGAAGTCCCTTTTGATGGCCTTGGGACTTCTCTGCTATCTCGTCCCCACCAACCTGAATTACCAAGAGGGGGTAATAATCAGAAGGCCGCACTAGACCAGGGAGTTTCTTCGCAACCTCCCTAACCCAGGCCCCAGGGAGGCAGCAGACTTCCCTGTGGGATGGGTCCGGTCGGCAGATCGGGCCCTCTGTTCCCCTCAGAAGGGAATCACCTGTGACAATTACCCTCCTTTTTTTCTTAGCCGAGGCAGTCGTCATATGTGGGGCTGACAATGTATTTCATGTATTTACATTCCCTACATATCTGTAAAACACTACCAAGAGCAATTCCTACTCTACAGATATAAATAGCGACCCAAAACCTCAGATAATGGAGAAACACTCCCTCCAGGTTAGGTTCTGTGTTTGGGATAATTGCTTTAGGCTCTGTCAATATATCTATCACCTTTAATCAGAGGCTGTTGATTATCAGCCTGTCTGAAAGACAACCCTGACATTTCTGAAGCTAGGTTCTCAGGCACAGCAGCATCTAAACTCTCTTGAGCAGTTCTGGAAAGGAAAAAAAAGTCTTAAGTCTTTCCACTGTTCATAGGCTTCACTCATTGGTGCAAAGCCCTTTAACAGAATTGTTTAGACCACATAACACCCACAAGTCGCAATTTATTGAAGTTTGGCAGTCTAACCACTGCAGACTTTTTCAGAGTTGATCCCCACAGTAACAATTATTTTCTGCTTTATTGACTCAGGGAAATTCATTCTAGTTTTTCTCCCCTTACCTCCCATCCACCCTTTTATTTCTATGCCATGTTTCTTCATTCTCCCTTGTGCCTATTGTGCCTTTTGTGGTCAAAAAACCCTACAGCTAGTATTTCCTCATGTTGCTAGTGGAGACTGGAGCAGCCTGCATAATTTGTCCCCTTACATGCAGGTCTGCCCAAAACTTTCCAGTTTATCTGTTTGGCCACAGCGTTGAGGTTTGCTCCATTCAGTAAAACGAACTTGAAGTTGTGAGTCATTATCAGGAGCTTCTGGGTTTTCAGGGCGTCCCCATGAAACAGGGAATAGAGACGACTGCAGTTTTTACGTGTTCATTGTAATAATCGCCGCAGTTACACAAGCCGTGCAGCACAGTCAGAGCTTCGCACTGTGGCTGGCTGCACCCTTTGCACAGTCACACAACAAAAATCACGGGTCACTAAAGGAAATGGGATTTTAAAATGTTAACAGGTGAAATCGTGGAATTTTTTTCCTCATTTCCCTTTTCAAACAGATTTCAGTCAGTTATGTAAATACTTTACACACGCACGCGTGTGTATTTGAAAAGCAGGGCTCCCCACGATCTTTACAATTCCGTAACTTCGACTCTCCTGAGACCAGCAGCTCTGCTTGCAGGGCCAACACCA